CACACACACACACAGGGGAGGCCACAGGCTCCCAGATGAACCGCACCCGCATGTGGGCGCGCACACACACACACACACACAGGCGAGGCCACAGGCTCTGACACGTGCTCCAGACACTGTCTGTTACAGGTGGCCTCAGTTTCTCCCCCTGGAAATGGCACATTGGGTTATTTTGTGTTTAAAATCACTTGCTTTCCATAATATGAGAAATACATGAACTATCTTAAACCAAAAGTCAGGCTCATGGTCAGTGGTGAAATCCAAAAGCATTCCTATTGTAGCTCACGACAACCGGTATTTAACACGGTTCTGGAATTCCTTGCAAATCAGCAAGAGAAATATAAAGTATAAATAGTATACATTTGCTAAGGAAACAATGGCTCTTTTTAGAAAACATGATTATATACCTGGAAAATCAAAATAAAACAACTGAAAGACTGGGTGGATAAATCAATCGGGTGCTCAAGTGGATACAAAGTGAGCATCCAGCAGAACTGGCTTGTCTGTGTGGGGAAAAGCTGCAGGGAAACGTGGCATGAGAAGGCATCGGTCGCCTGCAGACACCAGCACCAGTTATACCATAATGAGACTGAACTACTAAGGAGCATGAAAGACTTGTGTGGAGAACCTTGTTCTTCCATAAGAAAACGCAGGCGGTATTTGTAGTCAGAGTGAGGGGCCACAAAGATGTCCACGTGCTCATTCTTGGAGCCTGTGACCACGTTCTTACCTGGCAAAGGAATTTTATCTCACATGGCAGATGGGATTAAGGCTGCAAATCAGCTGGCTTTAAGATGGGGAGATTATCTCGGGTTATCTGGTTTTCCCGGTGTAATCACAAGGGTCCCTCCATGGGGACAGGGAGCAGCTGGGAGCTGGCCTGACTCAGAAGGACTCAGGACCCAGAAGGACTCAGCCCCACACTACAGGCTCTGCAGGGGGAGGAGCAGCCATGCACCAAGGAGAAGTTGAAAATGAAATCTCCCCTGGGGCCTCCAGAAGGAGCTCAGCCCTGCTAACCCCTTGGTTTTCACCTGGTGGGACTCATCTGGGACTTGTGGCCTACAGAACTGGGAGGTAATAATTTGACTGTTTGAAGCCACTAAGCTGTGGTCATTTGTTATGGTAATTTTCTTGGAAATAATGTATTGGTGGTGAAGCCGTACTGGATCACTGCGGGGCGGGGGTCAGGCTCGCCGGCGCCCCGCGCTCATGGCCATGGACCCCCGCCCCGCATTAGTCTCGCGAACCCCCGCCCCGCAGCGCCCACGCACTCATCTCCATGAACTCGTCGAACAGGCTGAAGATGTTGACAGAGTTCAGAAGGTAGTTGCGCCGCCAGTCCCTGAGCTCGGGGTCCCGGGGCAGGTGCCCGGCCTTGGAGGCCCGCAGAGAGCGGAACTTGTGGCTCACCCACCTGCGGGGAGAGCTGCGTGGCGGGGAGGGCGCAGGGGCAGAGGGGCCTGGGGTTCCCGGGGCTGGGCGGGGTTGGCACTCACGGGACCAGGTACTCCGCGCAGTTGCTGAGTGTCTGCTTCAGGCCCATGATGATGGCCATCTGCACGAACAGGTCCATCATGCAGCCGCTGGCGTGGCACTGCGGGGCCAGAGAGGAGGGGTCAGGGAGGGGTCGTGGGGGAGGGTC